AAGTCCTTGGAATTTTTGATCACACACGTTTGGGGCCCCTGTAGCCCGGGGGCCCCGTATCATTGATACGGCTGATACGGCGGTAGCTACGCCCCTGCATACCATCTAAGTCTTCAAAGTTGGCAACGCATCTGCTTTCTGATTCGTAATCGAGGATAGATGTACATGTCCTTAGGCCACAGCAACCACTTACTTACCATCAAGATAACTGCGTTCGTTTTTCACATTTATCCTATAAAAAAATTAAAATACCTACTGTTCTCGTTTGGTTCATAAATTCTTATAAAATATATGTTATAAACTACCATAAAAGCATAAAATAGAATAGTACCTATAAATTATAGGTACTTATTTGCACCTAAAATAATAGATTCCGTAAAATAAATAAAACTCAACCAGACGGAAGCCAGGGGAGATCGAACGGCCGAGGGTTAGGGGAAAAGGAAAGAAACGGGCAAACGATGCGGGTAATATCAAGGAGCACCGCAAGGATCCGTCACTGAGTCCCCGGAGAAATGATATTTCAGGATAAATGTCGCCTCGTGATGGCTCACCTGGACCTGGCGGTCCAGATATTTTGTTTTCTTATCTGTTTCATCTTTCATGAGGTTTAATGATCATAAACATGATCCAACCCTTATATTATACTTACTTAGTCCCGACAAGCGGCTGTTAAGCACTATTGTCAAGTGCGCAAAAAACAAATCGCGAACTGACTGTTTCATGTCTGGACATCTATACCTATATTATGTGACATACCAAGGTACCTACGCTATTTTTTTGCCTCGAAAAGGGTAGGTAGTTATGTTGATGGGCATAGAAAAGCCTATGCCCTAAGAGTTAGCGAGCTCCAGCTCCATTCTGATGGAATTGATTTAATTCCATAAGATGGAAGCGATTGGAGGCGTCTCTTAATTTATAGAAGCGTAATTTAGTAATGACACTAATTCTGATAAAATTTTTAGAATTTTAGTTGTATAATTCTTGTAGACAACATTTAAATAAGAATTGTTCAGAGGTGTACAAGACTCCCAAAAGACTCGACCGGAAGTGTCTAGTGCAAACCCATTGTGGATCTCTAAGGATTCTCAGATTAAACAATATTAAATCTACCCCAAACTGATGCATAGGTATTCTTTAATATATAGAGAATAGATATTATATAGATCTAAATCATTAACTTAATAAAAATAGTGCAAGCAAGCTTATTTTCAAAATATAAGTCTATGTTCAACAGTGAACCTATGCCAGATTGAAATTTAATTTAAGCTTGAGATTTCCGTAAATACTGTTATTGCGCTTCATTCTTGAAAACGTGTGAAGTTGTAGTGCATATTTTTAAAGAAAATATAGGATAATTGTAAAGTAACGGTTGTTTACTTTTGCGCTACTTTTACGTTACTGTTCCGAGATCTTGCGAAGTTTCTGCGTCACTACTACTGCCACAGAGTACATTATATATAGGGAATATGACTACTGCGCTACCAAAACAAAGTCGTGATACCTACATCAGTTTTAGAAACATTTTCAAAATTACTTTAAGATCTAGATCTTACGTACTTAGGTGTAGGTACCTAACTCAGGATTACTTATTTAATTTAATGTACTTATGTGTGGTAATGAATAGTAATACAGTATGTGTAATAAAAGCCCTGAGGAATCCGAGAGAGGATTATTCAGTATTGTTAAGAGATGAGATATGTACATAGACATTTTCAATATTACATTTTTATATATTATTTTAAATTTTAATTTTTATCGTTTTTGTTTTTCATTGTTGAACATGGACCTCCAACGTTGTTCGGAAGATTTGCGTTAACCGTCACTTCCAAGGCGGATGACGAGCGCAGTAACAGACAATTCGTATCTTTGACACTGTTCCCCTTTGCTGGTCTGGGTATTTTATACCTAGCGTAATCATCATCATCATCATTACAACCATTCACAAGTCCACTGCTGAACATAAGTCTCCCCCAAGGAATGCCACAAAGGCACGGTTCTGAGTCCTGAGTACGGCGTATCTGTCGTTTCCACGATAAATAAAGGTGTCACATATTTATAATTTAAAATAAAATTAATTTGTTCCAGACATTTGGTCTATAAGAGGGTTAGTACAAAATATGAACTTACAAATTATGTTGGTAAAACACAATAATAACTACACTACGACATTAATGTAAATATTTTCCGGGACAGTTTGTGACACTTGTTATACACGTACGTTTGTGTGTATATCCAGTGCCTCATGACTGGACAGTCCGGTTTATCACTAATAACATTCAGAATGGTGTTGGAGCTCCCTCGCACTCTGCGCATATGAGATGCGATTCGTTGGCGTATTACAGCGTGAAAGCCGTCAGTATGCGCTAGCACAAACATCCCTGATGCACTGCAAAATCACGGAAGTCCCAATATCATTTTGAAGGCATTATTTTATTGAACTCGGAGAGCATACCTAGCCCACTGCTTATTGTTAACCCTTAGACTACACGTGTACATTGTGTGACAGAAGGCTTTAAACAGTGTAATCTTAACTTCTACGTTACACCAAGCAAACAACAACAAACAAGCCAACATGTTGCAGCGGACTGCCATCGCCTCCTTTCTCTTTCAATATCACTGTCATACTTCAAGTCTTGGGTAACTATGGGGCCAAGGTACTTAAAGGATGACATTCATAAAAGCCACTCCGTTTAAATTTACTGTTGGAACACAAGCCACTTTACGTTCTTTCGCTTAAACACCACATATGCTCGATCTTAATGATTTCTTATATTTACGCGAACACTACACATTGAATAAAACTACTTTTAACGGATTTTATCGCGTTTAATTAACTTATTTTATATTCCCGACGTTTCGGTTGCTTTCCAGCAACCATGGTCACGGGGGACTGAGGTGACTGACGTCCCGATGTCAGAGTTAACCCGGAGTACCTTCAGCTTTTTAATTATTAATTTTGGTCCGATCTACGCAGAATGAACTTACTGTGTCTTAAAGTCTTGCAGTGGTATGCTTGGGTTTAGTTTTAATTTTATGAATTACAGGATCCCAAGCAGGTGGTAGTACCCAGCCTCCCTCTCTATTGAAATTAGGATGTTTTTTTAATTTCAATAGCCTCACGTAGGTATCATCCTTGGCAGGAATCGATGATAATCACACATAGCTGACATATAGCTGACGTGCAGCACCAACGTTTCGGGAAGTCTGCAGATCATATCCTAGACGGCCCCCGCCATTACATTAGATTTGATAAACCACAAATTCTCGCGGAAGAACATCGATGCGTTGATGCGTTGCCGGCCTTTTAAAAAGGAACTACTCCTTTGGATGACTTATCGTACATTCAGGCCTATCAGGCCTGGTCTAAAACCAAACTGTGCATCATGTAATAATTCTATATGTTTTTTGAGCTGCCTCTCAAGCAAACCATCAAGCATCTTAGCAGTCACCGTCTTGTCCCCTGTCTTATTATTTACTATGGGAACCACGATCATTGTCATTAGCTCAGCTGGCAGGTAGGAATGATGCTTACAAATTGTAAATAGCATACCGAAGATTGTCGGTAAGTGCGACCATGCGTATATAAAATACTCTATGCTGAGGTTATCGTGCCCCGGTGACTTGTCTCGCGTCATACCCTTTATTACCAAGAACACCTCTTTAGACGTCGGGTATGACGGCATCCGCATTCACACTTTCCCCACCCTTCGAATTTAGGTTATAGGTAATTAATTAGGTACGCTGTCAACTGCGTAATTCTGTTCTCTCGTTCCGGCTATTATCAGCATCTGACAATAGTCGAAGTAGACTGATATCGATTTAATCAAGTGCTTGGAAGGAATACATCTATCATTTTCATGATCAGTAAAGTTAGGTGAGAATGGATAATGATAAAGTCGTTAGGTTTATAATTGGTAATTATTAGTCCAATGACCTCGCGTTCTTCATCGCATGCTTCCGTTAAGTTATTAAGAAACTGAAGCAGGAGATGGGCAGCAGCATCATCCTAATAACAACTGAATGAAAATTAAAACTGTCAACCCTCTTGCCAAGCGTGGCAACTATGGCAAATAACGAAGTACATATCTGACTTCTGTCAATAGTACCTAATACTTGCTGCTTTAGTAGTACTATTATTTATTCTATGATAGTATGTAATATCTATTGCATATTAGTTAATATTACTTACCTATCTTTTTTAGGGTTGCGTAGTTAAACAACAAGCAATCTTTATGGTTTTGCCATGTCCTTCCGTCCGTCCGTCCGCGGTTTTACTCAGAGCCCCAGGTTGCTACAAATTTGTAATTGGACAAAATTCTAGATATTAATCACACCTACAATACCTCCTTGCTCCACCTCCACCTTAGGGTGATTTTTTAACCTTTCTACTCCATCGTATGGGGTGTCGATGGATAGGTGTATGAAAAATGTTGGGGATATGGAACACCATTTTCCATTTACGGATCCGTTTGAGAAATATTTCGTTTGTAAGTTAGTAGTATATTAATGAAATTAAAAGGAAAACTATCATAGCTAATTAGGCTTAACAAATTAAAGGGTAATAGCCGACCAACTTATAAAATGCACTTGGATTAGTAAAAACGTTACAATTTACAATAAACCTCTCAGTTACAATCGTTCTATATATAATGGGCTCATTTTTAGACGTTATAGCGATTAAACCGCGAACTCACTAACTTAATATGCTCATATTATCAAGAAGGTCCCTTCCAGGTTCATGTATTGTGGACGGACGCACTTGATCAGTTTTTAATTTATGGCATTTGTGTATCGGTATCATTAACAGGCAAAAATCGTCTCGTAGAGAGACTTCATTCCCAAAATGGATGAATTATCTATATTCTATATAATATGTACATAATTGAGTTTATTCAGAACCCTAATGGCGTGCGTTCTACTATAGTTTCTGCTCGTTTTTTTTATCATTTTTTTTATCTTACATTCGGTTTCATACATAATAAATATTATGCTTGTAGGTGACGACTGTTTATCCAATGGTCAAAATGGAGTCTGTGTCTTAATCAGCGATTGCGAGGTTGCAATAAGGTCAGTAATAAATTGTTCCTTTATTTTAAAACTAGCAATCCGCCCCGGCTTCGCACGGTTGATTTCTGGATCTCGTTATTCTATTCTATTCTATTTATTATTGATAATTGCTACTAATTAGTAATTATTAAGTCACAACGATAAATATTCTTTTTTTAATTTAATCTGGTATTTTATTCAATTTACAATGGGGGGAAAAAATTATTCGAGATGAAGTAACGCCTGTTCAATTACATTTTTCGCTATATTTCAGACTCCAGTCAACAAATTGATATTGATGAACTCTTCAACGTTATAATATACACAAAATACCTCAACCAATATTTTTGTAAATCTAACAAAAAAGTGTTTCCTAATTTTGCAAGGTGTAGGTAATAAATACCCTTATAACGAAATTATGATAATTATGGATAGTAGGTACCTACATATTTCAGAAATATTTACAATCTCTATATAAAAAAATCAATTGCTGTCGAGATTAACGAGTCTCGTTAATACTCAAAAACGACTCGACCGACGTTATGATTTTCTTTGTGGGTGTGTGTGTGTGTGTGGTATTCAACCCGGTAGGTGGCACTGTTGTCGAGATCGAGATCAAGAAATCACTCGTGCGAAGGTGGGGTGGATCGTTAGTATTTAATAAATTCGTGTATCAGGATATTTGGATACTAAATCCCTAAGGTGCGAAATAGGAGATGAAATAATTACAACCTATAAAAGTCCACTGCTGATCATAGACCTCCCGCACATATAGCCACATGGAATACATAGGGGGATTTTACCACGATTGCTACACTTGGCAGAATAATTGGCAACCGCAGTTGTTAATAATTTGTAGTCGATATTCTTTCACCGCCACTACACGGTTGGGGGATGAAAACTATTATAAAATTTTGAACTATTCTGATGCCGTTTTCAATCAATCAATTTATTCTTTCATGTACACCAATACACATTAAAGAAAAACAACATGTAATAAATAAAGAAGTTTTTTGAAATTTATGAGAATTTTTTGAGGAAAAAGGTGATAAGCGAGTACACAGGCCACCTGATGGTAAGTGGATGCTGTGGCCTATAGACTTATTCATCTACCCTCAATAAATAATCCCATTGCGGATACGTCGTCACCCATGAGAACTAAGATGGAATGCCTCATTTCCAGTAAAAAGAGTATCCGGTTCTCTTCACTCACTGTACGAAACGTGCTGCGTATTAAGCTCCTATTTTACGCTGGTAATCTGTGAGAGCGTGGTCCTTACGTGTTGGAGACGGCCCATTAGTGCTACAACTATACCTAATATAGCTGCAGCATGACTTTACCACGTAAAAGGTACATAAGCGGTTTTAACGATCTGAAAGCGATTTTTTCCAGACAACAAAAAATAATTGTTCACAACTAGTGTACATAAAAAAGTATGTGTATATAAGTAAGTAATTCGTTTCACTTGTTTTTTCAGGGCCATAACTAAGAAACATTTCCATCATCTTCAAAGGTGTGGGTTCCAGGGCACCACAGAGATAGTTTGCTGTCCGCATTCATCGGAAATTACGAGTAATGAAACTTTTATCTGTAACTTTATATTTCCCAAGTTTATTGGGATATAAAAGTAAAACCGTTGCTGGCATTTGGCATTAAACAGCCAGTTGTCTCTACGAGACCTTTGAATTACTTATACCCGTTACCGTTACAGCGTATTAAGTCCACTACCGAACACAGGCTTCTCCCTCAGATTGTCTCAAACTGTGGCAAAGATCCCATCTTTGCCATAGTTTCCACCATTGGCAAGCGGGTTGGCAACAGTTTTATTTTTATTTTTAGTCCTTGTTAAGAAGATGCTTCTGGTCAATTGATTTTTTCCCTCTGTCTCGTCTTACGACACCCACCGAATGAAATTAAGTAGTGGATGGTCTATGCCCATCATATTAAAACTCATTTATTAATTCATTACATCCTATTAAAAGTATACTGATGAACATAGGTCTCCCTCATAAAATTGTATCGTACGTACGATATTTAACATAGTTGAGACGCTTGGCAGGTGCAGTTTATTAACTTCCTTCTGCGTAGCATTGAAAGGAAGTTAATGGTTTTAGCTGGCAGTCTGTTAGTCTGTATGCCGACACGATAACTTCCGTTCCACTGGACCGATTGACTTTAAATTTGGTATGTGGATACCTTGAGGTAGTAGCTCGGTCGAGTTTGAATTTGGGTCCTGTAGGTCAAAGGGCACCAGAGATATGGGATTCACGCAGAAGGAAGTTGTTTTTCTTGAATTTACATTCAACTCGTTATTAAAGTGTTTTATAACTTGACATCTTGAAACTGTTTGCAGTCAGGTAGTTGATGTTCTTGCTTGCATGTCGGACATTGTTCTTTCTTGCTGTTGTCGGTAGCGAAAGTGCGCTCAAACCTCTCGAATCTCTTCTTTGAGTGCTTTTCTTGTGTAATACATCACGTCTTGTATTCACGTCCTAGACAATGTTTTTTTTTTTTTGAATTTGTCAGACTTTTGTTCAAAATGTTTTCCTCTGTTCAGAATTTGAACTCGGTTTGCTAGCGTAATGTGAACTTTGGCGTAAGCTTATTACCTGAGCTACCACAGCCATATAATAAATAATAGTACTACGCTACGCCACAGCTCCGTAACATTATCTTTGAAAATAGTTATTTATTTATAAATTTTCTTCGAACTTATTATACACCCCTCACTTGTTTTTAATTTAATTATATTATCTATTGTTCAGCTACTCCAGTCTATCGGCCTACACTTGGACCGCGAGGTATGTATTAAAAAAAAATATATATATTCTGTTAATTTCTGTATTGCGTAGTTTTGTAATATTCGTAGTGTAATTACGGCTCCGTAGCGCAGTGACTAACTACCTTTCGCGAGATTGTAACCCGCACGGAACAAATGTTTGTATGGCCCACATTTATACTTTTGCAAGATAAACAAACCCTTAGATGTTGTTTGTTCTTTAAATGCCTCCTCGAAACTGGAGAAAATTCTTCAAATCAAATAGTTTATTTGTGATCACAGGTTACAAAAACGTCTTATTGAAATACAAATAAAGTTCAATCTGTGATCAGCCTCATGGGCATACAAGCGTTCTTGTGTACCTAATGTCTTATTTTCAATTAAAAAAATCAACTAGCGTTTGCTTTTATTAATACTCTTAACATTAACATGTAATAAACACAAAAAACGCTTGGATATATTTTATGGCATGTTAACAAAATATTTTACGTAGCCGTCATCATAATAATATAAAATTAAAAAATAAAGTTATTTACATACAAACTGACAATATTCTGACATAAATTATGTAGGTAATGTTATTTATAAATATATAAATTATGTATGATAGTAATTATGAAAATATTTATATTATTTTCCAGAAGGCGTACAAAGTTTGAGAGTCGCTGACAGAGGTATTATATAAAATTTGTATATGATTATTTGACATTTAACAAAACTTACGATTTTAAATATTACTTCAACAATTAAAAATAGCATATTATAAATTAATATATACAAAAAAGACGTGCTATGGCCATAATATATACAATCTATTTGCATTTTTGTTAGCGATCTGAAAAATATACAAAACTCATATTATGTTTTTTTTTTATAGGATAAGGGTGACAAACGAGCACACATTCCACCTGATGGTAAGTGGTTGCTGCGGCCCATAGACATCTACATCTATCCTCGCATGCGAATCAAAATGCAGATGCGTTGTCACCCGTGAGGCCTAAGATGGAATGCCTCATTTCCAGTAAAAAGGGCCTCCGGCCACCTGCACTCACGAAGCGAAACGCAGAGGTAAACCTCTACTTCACGCTGGTATTCTGTGAGGTCGTGGTACCACCCCGGTTCGGCCGGCCCATCCGTGCGACAGCAAAAGCTGCCGCGTGGCTCTACCACTGTTAAATATGTATATCCTTTCAATAAATTAGTTATTAGTTTCATGCTTTAATCGAGTTTTTTTACCATAGTAAATAACAAATAACTGTATATGTAATTGTGCAATTTTCAATAGTTAATGATAATTGAATAAGTTAATAACCGCCAGGTGGGCTTTGACATCGTTTGTAACTATTAAATTATATAAAAGTAACAGATATAATATCCAAAAAAAATTATGTACTTTTTGTTTTCAGAATGTAAGAAATTAGTTGACACAATTAATCCACCTTCTGGAGTATACATTCTCGGTGGCGAAATTGCAGCAGACGGAGAATTTCCGCACATGGTATTGATTGAAACCTTTTCTAAGTGTTAACTGCGTCGTGTAACTTCTGAACGACTTCACCGATTGAATTCATATTGACAAATTCTCTATTTATATTTTTTTTATAGAAAAAGGGGCAAACGAGCGTGCGGCTCACCTGATGGTAAGTGACTACCGCCGCCCATGAACAACCGCAACACCAGGGGAATTGCAGATGCGTTGCCGGGCTTTTAGAAAGGTGTAAGCAGCTCTTTTCTTGAAGGTCCCCAAGTCGTATCGGTCCGGGAAAATCGCCGGTGGTAAACAATTCCACAGAGAAGTTGTACGAGGAAGAAAACTCCTAGTAAAACGCACAGTCGTGGACCGTCAAGCATCCAGGTGGTGAGGATGGTATCGTGAATTTTGACGTTCGTGAAATTTGGCGGCTGGAATTATTCCGAACAATTCCTCAGAGCACTCCCCGTGTTAGATTCGATAGAAAATACAAAGGTATGCAACATCCCTACGCAATGTCAGTGTATCGAGCTGATCAGAAAGAACTCGGTTGTCGACGATTCGGACCTGCTAGTAAATGAATGAAAATGATTCATATTCACAGTATATTGTTGGTATAGTGTCAAAAAAGAAAATAACATAAAATTTAATAATTTTATACAACACTAAAAAATCGCGAGTGAATTTGAAGTGAAACTCGTCGCGCCACAATAATTTAATAATTTAATTATGTATTAATAATGAATTGATAGAACGAATGTTTATTTCAGTAACATGTTTTTTTTTTAAATTTTGGAACAAAGTTCTTTATCGGACGGCACGGATTTGACTGATGGGGGCTAGGCGACAAAAAGTGTAAGATTTTTCCGTCACGACCCTCTTTCTATAGTGCAAGCGAGATGTAATAATATCCATCTCCCTCGCACTTTTTCTTATCTTGCCATGAAATAAATATTATTTTATTTTAAATGACGCTTCATTTTAAGAGACAATAGTAATTCATTTATTTGTATTTTTAATAAATAATATAATACGTTTATTAATAATAACATCCTACGAAAGGAAGGTTCTAATCGAGTATTCAACGACACCCACGCATGTTTTTTTTTAAATTATTATAAGCCCGTGCTTGGCCACAATACCGCCTGGTGATAAGTGATGAAGAACAAGCTGGTGAAAATTCTACTTTTTCTTTTATCATCCTATTTCTCATCATCAGGCCCTAAACAGTCCACTGCTATATATAAGTATCTCGCACTGCCCTAATCGTTCCGTTCAGTTAGGGTCTAACAATCGCATAACCACACGTCTAGCACACTTGACGTAGAACTAGTGCTATTGAGTAACTCTGGCGGGAATTGTTTACCGATGGGAAATCATCCCGCTACTCAACCTAAAATAAGAAATTAATAAATTCATAAAATTAATATAACACAATACGACGAAGCCATCAATCAAAGTTCAAAGTTGAAGCCAACCACGATTCCAAATATGTATAATACCTATCTCTATATATAAAAATCAATTGCTGTGTGTTAGTCTCGCTAAAACTCGAAACTGGCTCGACCGATTTTCATGAATTTTTGGTGTCTGTTTTGACTGGATGATTTTTATTCATAATTGATGAAAACCTTTCTAAAAGGTCGGCAACGCATCTGCAATTCCCCTGGTGTTGCAGTTGTTCATGGGCAGCGGTAGTCACTAAACTATCAGGTGAGCCGCATGCTCGTTTGCCCCCTCTTCCATAAAAAAAAACCATGAAATGAACATTTCATCAGTTTGGACGTAGCGCGTGCACGAACCGAACATGTACTTAATCGCATCTGTTTACGACGTGCGTGCGAACGTAGCGTCAATCTGCTAAGAACACGCGAAGAATAATTTGTATTTTGTGGATTTTATAAAATATCTCGTGTTCTGGAGCTCGTGGATGGCTCGATTAATAAATTAGATGAATTAAATGTGTTATAAAGAGAAAAGTCCACACTTTTTAATATATACAAAAAATGTATATCAATGGCAATAAGGAGCAAAGTTCAAACTTTATTATAATAAATATGAACGAAGATTCTAATGATACTGATTAAAATATAGATTAATGACCTTTTATCTATTAAACTTTATCTTTTAAAATATAAATTGTTTGAAATTTTTCTCCACTGTGTAATGTTTAAACCTTTACCGTGTAGTTGCATTGATGACTCACTATTTTCTGAGCGCGAACGGATCTTCAAAAATCGGGAAGCTATGAATATATAGATATTGATAGCTAGAAGCAGACATTTTTTAGCTCATTATTCATTGACTACTACTGGTTATTTTTGGTTTTGCATTGCAATTCTCAAGAAGAGAAATTCGCTAGCTCGAGTTTCACGCACGCGTCGTATGTGATTTTTATGCGAGAAATAAAAAAAATGAGCTCAAACGTTTAGTAAAGAATATTTTTGTTACAGGTTGCACTCGGTTATAGAATTTCAGAAGCCTATGTTTTTCGATGTGGTGGTTCGCTAATATCAGATAGATATGTTTTAACGGCCGTCCATTGTGTTAATACTATAGATCGGTGAGTGTCGCTATGTTTATTTCACTTTGTATTGTTAAGTGTTAAAATGGAATCTAAATTTGACAATTGTCATAAAAATTTAACCAGAAACGGCTCCGTGGCGCAGTGGTTTACCTTGAGTTGCAGCGCTAAAGACCGCGGATTCGAATCCCGCACGGTACAAGTATTTGTATGGCCTAAAACTAATTGTTAAAGTATTAAGTCACTATTTTTTTTCTTAAGTCACTAATTGTTACTAACTCCTCGCTAAATCTTGACATTATAAAATTTAGGATATCTTTGGGGAGGATTACAGCTTGAAGGACGCGAAATCTATGCTTAAAATAAATGTAAACCTATTATTTTGTTCACAAAAATTTTTCACAGCATTGTTCCCGAAGATAAGTGTCAATATTCTGTCAAGTCAATAAAATCTGGGGACGTAAGCGTATGTAAATAACGATTAAATTAATGCAAGCGAGACGCAGCCTTAAATCTATGCATAGAAAACCTTTTCTCCTTTGGGCTTATTGTCAATCGCGATTGTTCTAGTATTTTCCTATGAAAAGGGGTAAATCGTTGTATGACCCGAATTGACCTAATATGTTCTGTATTTCTCTAATTGGGTACCAAAACGTGCGCCAGCGATAGGAGAATCAATTATTTTAGGAACACAATAGCGAACTTCTTTCGGGAAGCGATTGCGAGCAATCTGCGATTACCGAAGTTGGTTAGCGATTTTGATTGTACACTGGTAGAGCCATGCTGCAGCTATATTAGTAGTATAGTTGTAGCACGAATGGGTCGGTTCGACCGGGGAAGGACCACGGTCTCACAGAATACCAGCGTAAAATAGCAGCTTAATGCTGCTGTGTTTCGTATGGTGAGTGTAGAGAACCGGAGACCCTTTTTACTGGAAAAGAGGCATTCCATCTTAGTCCTCACGGGTGACAACGCATCTGCATTTTGATTCACAAACGAGGATAAATGTAGATGTCTATGGGCCACAGCAACCACTTACCATCAGGTGGACTGTGTGCTCGTTTGTCACCCTTATCCTATAAAAAAAAACCACTTAGTGTGTGTGTGTGTGGAAAAACATCAATTTCTCATGTTAATTGGCATTGTTATTCGTCCCGCAAGTAACAATATGTTAATGACGTAACATTGCTGTTTTTACAAGATTTTGACGACAGCTTTGCCAGGAGGCAGTCGATGATGATCTCGATATGCCAACACGAACACAATAACTTAATCGTCAACGGAGCACATGTTCCACTAATAGTTCACATGCACAGACATCAGCACTTTCACGTATTCATTTTCTAACATTATTTTATTAATAATACAGGAAGCGCGGGTATGTAGATCCCACCAAAACTTCAAACAATTTTCTTTTCAGAAATGCATTATTTAAATTTGAGATACATATCTAATATAACTTCAGGATGCTCTATATGCCTTTTTAATGTTAAACATTTTGACTAAGGAAAAATCAAAAACGCCCGTTCTTTTTTTTTTGCAAAAAGGTGTGACATGTGAAAGGTGTATTTTCATTTTTTTATCATTTGTGAAAAACAGTACTACATCAAACCTCAATCATCGTCATCATTAAAATTAAGCCTATTTACTTATAAATTATCCTAAATAAGAAACTTATGGCCAAATACTCAAACGCCACAGACGTCATTAAGTATGGTTGTCTCAGTTACTTTGACTTAATGTGATAAAGACAGCACGAGAATTAACGGCATCTTAAAATTGAGTATAGGGGCATTAAAGTTTCTAATGTATAGCACAAGATTAAATTTTAAATAGATCTTTGTGGAGTTTGCAAATCGGTTTGTGTTTTTTAAATTTCAGTATACAACCTAACATGGTTCGCGTTGGAGTTGTAAATATAACTGGCAACAACTGGAACGATGCCACGGACATTGAAATAGAGCGCATTTACGTACACCCGGACTATGCGAGACCACGGAAGTATCATGACTTGGCACTGCTCAGGTATTATATATTAATAAACTCTGAAATGCTCAAAATATACGCATACCTACCCTTATTTGATGTTATTATTGCACGTGGTAGAGCCACGCCACATAAGTAATGAAACCGTAGCAACGCTGCAGCTTCATTATGGATGCAGTGGGCTCGACCGGAGAATAACCACGCTCTAATATAATACCAGCGTCAAATAGCCGAATATGTTGTGCCTGACGAAACTGGAAACTCTACTGGTACTTTACTCTTTTTTTTATTAAGGGCAGATAAATAATGTGTTTGTTATGTAAACGTATGTAATAGTGGCAATGTAGTAAAATCTATTATCTCACAAACCGAGGATGTCTAAAGAATCGACTTATTAATATTCCAAAAATACGTTTGACATTCGTCAGGTAAATTTGTTAAAGAATAACACTAGACATTTTTTAGTGGTTAGGGCTATGCTGCTATTGAATTATGGTTGTAGCACGAATTGGTCGGCTCGACCGGGGTAGGACCACGCTCTCACAGAATACCAGCGTAGAGAAGCAGCTCAATGCTGCTATTTCGTATGGTGAGTGTGAGTGAGAGAAACGGAGACCCTTTTTACGAGGCATTCCATCTTATTCCTCAGGGGTGATAAAGCATTTGCATTTTGATTCTTAATTGAGGATAAATGTAGATGTCTATAGGCCACAGCATCCACTTACCATCATGTGGACTGTGTGGTTCATCCTTTTACTATTAAAAAAAAAACTATTTTGTATATGGTTTATTAAAAAAAAATCGTCGGCCGAGTGCACAGAGCAACTACAAAATATGAGAGTACGGTATCAAATCGTTAATCAGCCAGCCACGGTGATAATTACTGCAAAACTGTGGGACAAGTTCCGGTCTAGCTGTAGACTTATTGCCGGATAGTAAAAAAAATCGTTCGGGGATGATAATAATCCTATTTTAATAGAGACTAATCTATTCCCATACATATTTATTTTTGTCTTGACCTTTGTCGCCTTCATGCAAATTAATGACAGCTATCCTCTTAGAAACTCTTTGCGTTGGATAAGCTGAGTATATGCTTAGCATAAACTTTGATTCCGAATTTATAGTTGTATCGGACTAAGATTAAACTAAGCTTATGCTAAGGCCCAGATAGTTCAAATATCAATGGATGCTTCATTCCACGCATTATATTGTTGCGCGCCACTATTAATGTCTTGTACATGGCAACACTAGTTACACTAGCGCCCTCTAGTGTCGAGTAAAAGAAAGTGTTGCGCGCCACTATTAATGTCTTGTACATGGCAACGCTAGTTACACTAGCGCCCTCTAGTGTCGAGTAGCAGAACTAGGAGAGTCAAGATCCTTCCAGAAATTTCGGGACCGATATGTACTCGAACATTCTAGATGTCGCTACAGTAGAAGATTCTGGAAACTATCTGATGCCCTATATAAGGCCGGTATAGACCACGACTGAACTGAGGCAGTATTGAATTGGCGATACAAGAGAATACTTCGAAGCGAAATAACGGCGAACTGTGTTTTATTATTAGTGTGATTTTAGATTGTAATTAGTGTTGCGTAATTAAAGTGTCAAATTTGGTAATTTAATCGGCAGTTTTTAATTGTCTCGAACCCCAAGCTCGTAACAATATGTTTTGACTTTACTGTATAAAATGAAAAAGATATATATTTAAAATCAAAACTACCGTATAAAATAAAAATAAAAACATATGTATATTTAAAATCGAAAACAGTCGAAATTGTATTTCATAAATAAGTTATTATTACATGAAATAGAAAACGGGCGTGTGAGAACGGGAACGGGTTAGAGGAGTGCAAGAGTTTAAGAAATTCCAAATAAGATTGAAATTACGTAAATATAAAATGGAATTATGCTATTTAAAACTAGAAGACGTCCTAAAACTACCTATTTATTTTTTTAATTAATTAGAGTAACATAAAAACAACAATTTAAAATTAATACGGTGGTTTTGAATATCCTGAGTTTTACGTAAGTCGTCGATATCGTTCACTTAGGCTTTGCTGAGCGCGCACTCAGCACGACTTCGAAGTTAGCTCTATAAATACCGACATTGTCTTAGTTCGAAAGTAAAGTCTGAGCAAAGTCAAAGTACGGTCTATAGATCTCAGCCTGAGTATCTATTTTCCATAATTTACAAGTGCAGATGTGACCTCTGTAGTAAACACCTCTGAGAGATCGCAATCAATCAACAATGTAGTTCTTTTTAGCCGACTTCAAAAAAGAAGGACATTCTCAATTTGACTATACGTGGTAGAGCCATGCTGCAACTATTTATGGTTGTAGTACGAATGGGTCGACTCGAGCGGGGAAGGACCACGCTCTCACACAATATCAGCGTGAAAAAGCAGCCTTATTGAGGCTAATGCTGCTGTGTTTCGTACCGCAGCTTCGTCCGGGTAGAACTTAAACAAAAAAAATGAGTCAGTACAGTTACAGACTGCGAGGCATTCTATCTTAATCCTCAGAGGTGACAAAGCATCTTTAGCCTTCTTTGTTGGTGTCCATGGACTACAGTATCCTCTTGCTGTTAGGTGGTTTGTAAGTTCGTTTGTCACTTCAGTTTTATAAAAAAAACTAATGAGTAGTTTCTATGTCATTATTACTTAGAAGGCAAAATATTTTTATATTCCAGATTAGTTAAAAGAGTTCCGTTTTCTCGGAACGTTTTCCCGACATGTTTGTATACCGGCGAAGCCGACCCCACTGTACCACTCACAGTTACCGGTTGGGGAATAACTGATATAACGCGTAAGTTTTATAATTTTTTCTCTTTATCGCCAGTAATGAGTAGTCTGTTAGCAGATATATATATATCGAACACTGACTTCCAGGTAAGATGAGTTTACTGTAATAGAAGCAATTGCTACATCAGACGCCTTAAATTCTGTATTCCACTAAAGTTTAGGGGACATAGAATTTAAATTAAATGAAGAGTTTAGGGCCTAAACTCTTTATATAATTTACATTTAACGTATTAATAGAGATTATTCTGACGTTACCGTTACTGTTACAGCCGCTGCGGAACATAGGCCTCCCCTATAGTTTGCCTTATAGTCACTGACCTCTATATATGGACTGGCTATACACCGTGACATAATGATGCGATTTCATTTTCGCCATTTTGGCGCTGACAGCAGAAATGAACGTCCACGGAACTAATAATAGAGATAAGAAAGTGTGACAAAATATATCGATAAGAATTCTATACCCAAGCCTACCCGTAACCTCCATTCTATTTATGTATCATATTAATATAATGCCATACGATAAATAAATGTATTAATTTCAATCAATATCAAATAGGAGCCAAGAAAAAACGAGCACTCGGAAGCACCAAGTGGTACAGTCCCGCCATAGTAGCGGAGGATAGTCGAGTGGCGCATTACCATACCAACAATCCTCTTCCCTTGCGACTCCACTTCGGCTGCAGCGATATAGAGAGAGGACTATCCTCTAGCCGCAGCTCACTAACAGACATCCAAGGGCTCGACAAGCCCACTCAGAGTGGCCACCTTGGGCCAGCCCTTCACTTCGGGCTAGCCATGTGAGTGGCCCTACGTTTACCATAGGCTACCAAGCCACGGCTACAAAGCCCCACCCCCTCCCCCCGCCACAATAAGGCGGGAATCGGTTCAGTGAGGAGTTATTTCTCACGTAAACTCACGCAAACTCACGCAATCTCACTAACGACATTAATACTTTTTTAATTAATAATTCTAATTACAATAAATTGGTCATAACAATTATACAGATTTAACAAACTTAGGTCTTGTAAACACAAAGTCATCATCAGGCGACGTTTCTACACTTGGCTATGGCCCTCTAATACGTTTATACTTAATGGTACTAGTACTACAAGAAAATATTGTGGGTATTCTGCACTTTTCCAAGGTGGTGCGTTTCTTATGTCCAATAAAACAGTCGTCTGTGAATTATTTAGAACAAAGATAATAATTTTACTTCGGACGCCAATTCACAACTTTTGTGCTTTTTAGCCATAATTTTAGTCTAGGTTCAGTTGGAAACCTGTTAATTAATAAACATTTGATAATTATCTGTTGTCGGCGACTTTGGTTGTGAACAGATATGAGTAGAAAACAACATCGATAAGTATTATAGACAAGGAACTCGACAACCCTATTGAATTTTATTGTTTGTCAAAACTCAGTAATATAAAGTCAAACATGTTGGTAATTACGATATTAAGATTAGTAACAAATTTTTAAGTACCTATATTATCAAATAGTTTTAATTTGCTTAATATTAGCTGCAAATTCACTTACTTTTTGAATGTTATCCCATTTTCCTTTTGTTAACGAGTTTTACATATTAAGCAAACATAATCAAACCACATAAAATAATTTCATTTTTTTATTTAAAAATTCACAAATACAGAGATACGATTTAAATGATATAGTGCCACGAACTTATCTGTGAACTGACAGCTTGGCGCTTCTGCGCTGAAGTGTTGCCAGTTCGGGAATGTTCCCATCTAAGGGTCTTATATTCCTACATAGAGTCCACATACTAGGGTAATAAATTAGTCACGGAATAAAAAGACTAGAACACAGATTTAATAGATATATGTCCAAGAACAACAAGAAACAATAATATCATAATTGAACAATTTAAACTTTAATTAAATGATATGCCTTTATGCCTTTTTTACCGGGCGTTGTAATTTGCGTTCCTGTCGTTTATGCGGTATCCGTTTAACCATTTTGGAAATGAATCCTTGACTAACATCTGAAAAAGAAATGAATTGCATTAACCAATCCGTTTATCGGAAATACGAAACGAAGGAACAAAATATAGCAGCTGATACTCTTTTATAGACCTGATTGAAAGACATTATCGGTGCTTACCCTCGAGCTTCTTGCTCACAAAAGCTTAATACTTATAAAATAATGTTTCGGGCATCACTTTTAATGATTCTCGGCAGTTTTTATTTTTCTATAAACTCTCAAAACAATGACGTATCGAGTGACATTTGATTAAATGGCGGCTGTAGTTCACAATTTTGCCGCAGCTGTCAGTTCACAGATATTACATTTATACATATACATTTTGTATGATATTACATTTTGATAGTACATTTTGTATGGCATAGCCAGTCCAGCCGTACTTGTATATAAAGAGGTCGGTGCTTATAGGGGTATATATACTATAGTTGCTACGCTTGGTTGGCAACTGCAGTTATTTTTAATGTTTTAGATGTTATTAGGAAGACGCTGTTGCCCATCTCCTGTTTCAGTTTTACTCTGTCGCCTCTTACGACACCCCAGGCACGATATGGGATAGTGGATGTTCTTACAATGCCACTGGACGGTCAATTATCATATACACACAGTCGTTCATTCTGCCATTTGCCTATAATTAATTACAAACGTAGATTGATCGAAACGATCCCCAAGAAAAAAAATCACAATATTACAAAATACCATATTATTTTCTGGGAGAGAAATTTGTCGAACTGTGAGATATATTCAGGGTGCCGAATTTTTCACTCTACTGCAGTGAAGCTCAAAAGGAAAGCATTTGCGTTTCTTTGTCTGCCCGTAATTCCTAAACAAATCGACGAATTTTGACAAGTGATAACTCAGTCGATTTGTCGTAATTACACGGTAATAGATTATAATAAAGGCATTATAAAAAAAATATGGTGGGCATGAACTTATCGCATATGACATAACGAAAAAGGTTTTAAATATTTATAAATCTATGGGTTTAAATGAGTACATTTTTAATATTTATAATTATTTGTGTATGGAATATACGAATCTAAAATGTTTATAAATAATTAGAAAAAAAAATTTATATAAATTACTTTCGTCGGGGCTTGATTTTTTTTAAATATACTATTTGTTTTATTTATATATCTAAAAATAAAAAATAAAAAAGGTATAGGTAAATCCAATTGTGCATGCCATAAGCGCATTAAAAAATTTACGTATAACATGATTATACAGAATTTTTTTAAAGTAGTGTGTACACACACAAGTTTTCACTAACAACCTTATTACTATACTTAAAATTTTCCGATAATTTTATGTCAAACTTCAATTTAAAAAAAGTTTGGAAAATCCAAAAGGGCACGGCTATGAAAAAATAAAAAAAATGTAAATTATAGTTCTATTCGTCAAAGAGTTCTCGAAGCAGTCACCGAAGTACACTTTCAAGTCACTCCGTCAAGTCCAGAGGTAAGGTCTGTTCATAACTAACAAAACGAGCCCAAACTCGGCACACCTAGTTCTACTCTTCGAGCAGTTCCAGTAGCATTCATCGAAGTACACTTTCAGGTCACACTATCAAGTCCGGAGGTAAAGTCTCATCATAACTAACAAAACGAGCCCAAAATTGGCACACCTAGTTCTACTCTTCGAGGAATTCCAGTAGCATTCATCGAAGTACACTTCGCAAATAAACTATACAGGGTGTTTTTGGAACGCTCCCGAAAACTAAGACAGGCGACAACACCAAGTATACCTTTGATCATGGGTCACAAATAAATTCGATCCTGATGAAAAAAAAATCATCTTTTTACAAGGTTTTATTAGCTTTATTCACGCGCCATCATGTTAGTACAGCTAAATGAAACGATAATTTCATAAAAAATATCATGAAAATACTGAAACATAAAACCAGCAGTGGAATGACTGAATTGATATCACCTGACCTGAGCTAGATAAAGGTCAATGTACGCGCGAACACAAATTCGCGCGGCCCGCAACTAGCGGGCCTTCCAACAATACCTAATAATTTACAACACGTGTCTAAATACCTAACTTATCTACTTAACCTACTATTTTGCCACTGTGCTTATCTCCACGTAGCCACTTAATCCGAATTTACAGGTTAAATAACCCAAATAACTGGTTCGATTCCCCGCTAATGAAGAAATACTTAAATGAAATGTAACCAAGGTTGGAGTCATGCGTTTTTATTCATCGTGTAGGTATGTTTATTATTCTCGTGTATTCAGTTATGTACCTATTCAGATTAGTCTAGTACTAAGTTATTTAAAAAAAAATAGTTATGAAACAGCTTACTGCTCTAAATCCTCCGTGGTCTTATGAGATGCGGCTCAAATTGTGCTCCATTCATTTCAAGGCAGACTTGGGTGCAGGCGGGGCATCATCGTGTGGTCTTCGACACAGTCCGTACGTAGTTTCTCGAAAGCATCCACGATCCTTTGGCGCATTTCTTCAGCACTATCACATTCACGATTAAAAACCCTTTCTTTCACATACCCCACAAAAAGAAGTCTAACGGAGTCAGATCTGGTGAGCGAGGTGGGCAAGCGTGTGGTCCTAGTCTGCCGATCCAGCGATCATCAAATAGCTCATTGAGGCGCTCACGGACGAACCTCACGAAATGTGGAGGGGCACCATCATGTTGGAACTATGTGCGGCGATATTCAGCCAACGATAGGTCGTTTAAAATGTCAACCAACTGTTCATTTATAAAGTTTAGGTATCGCTGTCCGTTCAGTCGCTCTGGCAGAAACACTGGTCCCAGTATGCGATCCTTAAATAAACCTGTCCATACGTTAACCGACCATCGGGTTTGGTGCCCGGTTTGTCGAATAGCGTGCGGGTTAACCTCTGAATACACGTGTGTATTTCTTCGGTTCCACAGGCCGTTTCTGGTAAATGTCGACTCATCCGTCCAGATAATGTGCTCAATGGAACCAGGCACACGTTGTTGCTGATATAATAACCAACGGCAGTATAATAACCACTATAAACGTAGGCGTTAGGCATTATTAAAACAAAAAAGAATCCAAAAACGTAACAAAAACTTTAATATCAACACGTAATCACAAGTAAATTTATTAAACAAAACGACTGAACTGTCGCTCGCGCACGCGTGTAGAAAATCAACACGAAACTGTCTCAAAAACTAAAACCAACGAACCCCGTCAAGGCTGAAAATTACTGCGTCACAAGCGTGAGGCGACAGGGTTAGGCATTCTGCCGTCATAATAAAAAAGGAAGTAACTAACAAAAACGTAAAATGGAAATAAAAAATAAATTGATGAATTTTTCTTTCAGACCCCGTGTCTAAAGTATATTAAAAGGTATGTATATTGAAATATATACGTAGAGACATGAAGATTTTAAGGACGAACTTATTTTTTTTTTAAATTTGTTTATTTATTTAAATAAAACGAATTTTCCTTTTCATCTTAGCTTAAAAAATACACCTGGCAACACAAAAACATCGAAGGAAAGACGCATATAACTATTTGCGTCTTTCCAACCTAATAAATTAAAAAAAAACCGCCATTCATTTAACAATTTTACATATTTTGGAAAGGTCATTTGAAGTTGAAAGGACGCTAATCGTAATTTACTACTTTTTTTTTAATAAATATTAGAAAAGCATTGGTAGTGAGACACAAAAAATAATAATTTTAAAAAGTAATGATTTTAAAGGGGATATCATACAAGACTTACTACGATAATAATTAAAAATTAAAAAATTTGTACAACCGACTTTAATATAAATAATTAAGGATAACTCAAAAACTATTGGTCTGACCTCGATCAAATTTATATGGGACCACATGTGAAACACCAGCTCTTAACAATAAGATATAAGCTCTTAATAATAAGATATAGAATAATAAGACAAGACCAAGAATAATTGAAATTTAAGTAATCGATGCAAATATTGTTAAAGATGACGTAGCAACTGGTTAAATAAGTCTTTTCTTTTATGTTGAATTTGTATGTCTTTTCTACTAAAAAAAGTCATCTGTGATCAACAGTTACGTCTAAAATTCTTACGATAATTTCTAAAATATTGATATTTGTGAATATTAAAAAAAAATTAGTAGATGCGCCTTCTTATCATGAATCGAATGGTATATTTAACTCATTTATTCATAAATTGTTAGATGCGCCCTTTTTTCTTACGACCGCGTGTTTCGTACCGAGCTAGATACAGGTCGATAGCGGAGGGGGTGTGGGTACAATCGCGTTCTAAAGTACTACATGGTATTGGGCTATTGTTTTATAATATTATAGTAATTAATTGTTTTAATGTAGAATCATAATAGGTGTTTTACTAGCTACTTAGAACTTTGGAAGAGGTGGGAATTAAAAATGGATAATGTTTACATGAGCATTATTTGTTATTTCTATCGTAAAATATAAAGTAGTTTGTAACAAGAAAACTTTAGCTAAGGGTAACACGCCGTCCATTATGACGTCTTGGGTCACATGGAAGCCAGATGTTAATGGTGTGTTGGTGTTACTGGATGCTACTTGATCATCACTTTCATCTTCGCTTGAGCTTCCGTCATCAGGTCGATCACATGGTAATTTTTTCGGTATTCTTCCTCCACACTTTTAACTTTACTGCACAATTTTCCCCATTCACCTTCTCCTATCATATTTACCTTTTCGATCACTAGTTTAGTCATAAAACAATTGATATAAATAATTTTTCTTTCCTTCCTTTTTAAAACATCGTCGCGAGTCGCAAAGTAAGCTGTGTATGCGACTGTATTTTTGGAGCGAACAAAGCGCGGGAACCAATAGCATGCAGGCACACTAATACTGGCGGATTGTTCCCCCGTCGCGCGCCTTTCGTACCAATATGTGATAAATCGCTCAGTGCCCAAGTTCAAGGCCAGCGTTTGTTTTTCACCGTTCGCGCGTACATTAACCTCCATTAGTCAGGTGATATCAATTCAGTTTCCACTGCTGGTTTTATGTTTCAGTATTTTCATGATATTTTTTATGAAATTATCGTTTCATTTAGCTGTACTAACATGATGGCGCGTGAGTAAAGCTAATAAAACGTTGTTAAAAGATGATTTTTTTTTCATCAGGATCGACTTTATTTGTAACCCATGATCAAAGGTATACTTGGTGCTGTCGCCTGTCTTAGTTTTCGGGAGCGTTCCAAAAATACCCTGTATTATTATAAATTATAATATAGCTTAATAATTTGTAGTAGTTATTTTTTAGATTTTTTTCTTTTGACATGATTGTTTTAAATTATACTTTCACACATAAAATAATAAATTTCCTAACATTCCTGCAAGTTACTCAAAAAATTATCGAAAGAAAATAATTTTGGTTTTTAGTGGGGTAGACTCAAATTTTCAACTTCAATTTAAAAATACAAAAAGGAGTTTCCATAGGTTCTAACTGGCTTTAAAAACTTTGCAAGTCCCTAAGCTATTTAAAACATTATTCGCTGTAATCGGCCTTCGAAGGTGGATAGGCTAAAAATCCAAAAAAAAATAGTTTAAAAAAATTATTTTGTATATTTTTGTCATTCTTATGTAAATGTATGTCATAAAATGTAAAAAATAAAGGGTCGAAAACCGGTTTAACAATGCTCAAATTATGAATTATTGTGCTGTACGTGTCTTGCTCGTGTTATTTTACTGGATTTTTGGTGATTTTTTTTCACCAAAACTTAGGTAAAATAACAGCCTGATGGCTGAAACTTTTTACAAAATCACTTTTATGAATTGTTGGAAGATGTGAACGACAACAAATGATTTTTCAAATTGACGGTGCTTCTTGGCACTACGCAAGACAAGTAAGACAGCATCTCAACGAAACTTTTCGACAAAACTGTTCGAATGGCCTGCACGTTCGACAGACCTAAACCCTATCGACTTTTATATGGGGATTTTACAAGGAGCTGTTGTATGAGCAGGAAGTAGATAATGAAGAAGAATTGGGAGAAAATCTGGAAATAACTGCAAGAAAAATTAAAAAAAAACTCATTCACGTTCTTTCAGACAGTAAAACATAACTTTTTATAACGCTGTCATCTTTGTATTGAAATAGGAGGGCATCATTTTGAAAACTTGCTGTAATAAAGAATTGAAATGTTTAATTTTTGACAATTTTTTTGTTATCATACAAAAATAAGCCCAAATTACCTACTGAATAAATTAACGCCCTATTTCTTTAAATTTTTACAAATTATCATCTTATTATGATCTTTATCGGTCATTTTGTGTACGCAAACGAATGCAATCGAGAATTTTCCAGAAAAATTTGCCGTAGGGCTTGCAAAAATAAGCAAAATAATTTTTAAGGCTTAAAAAATTTTGTGGATTTTTAGCTTTGAAGGCCGGTTACAGCGAATAATTGCCCGTTAAGTACCAATTTTTTAATGTTTTAAATAGCTTAGGAATATGCAAAGTTTTTAAAGTCAGCTAAAATCTATGGAACTTCCTTTTCTGTTGATTTCTAAAAGGAGACGATACTCAATTCGACTGTATGTTTTTTTATGTGTGTTACCTCATAACTTTTTACTGAGTGAACCGATTTCGATGATTTTTTTTATTTGAAAGCTAGTACTTCACATGTGGTCCCATATAAATTTGATCACGGTCAGACCAATAATTTTTGAGTTATTCTTAATAATTCATATTGAAGTCGGCTGTACAAAATTTTAAATTTTAAATTATTGTATTTCTAAATTAAGGATGCAAGTTTGGGTCTACCCCACTAAAAACTAAAATTCTTACTTTCGATGCTTTTTTGAGTAACTTGCAGGGATGTTAGGAAATTTATTATTTTATGTGTGAAAGTATAATTTATAACAAGCATGTCAAAAGAAAAAATCTGAAAAATAATTACTACAAAAAAAGATATCAATTTTCGAAGCCCCGCCGGCAGATAGACTAAAAAAATACAAAAAAAAAATTATAACTCGAAAACTACAAAAAATCGGATAATATACATAGGCTGTTTTCGGATACCCCTAGGTGTGGGGAATTTAAATTTTTCTTTTGGACGTCACTATTTGAACCAACCTGTATAAATAATGATATACCGTTATTGCACTTTTTGATAATAACGAGTAAATAAGGCTTCTACTTTTATTTGAAATTATCCCAAATTGAATGTGATTTATGGGCAACAACGTTTTTGCCTACCGATCGACACTTACGAATGTGTGCGGGCGCAGTAAAATCAGTTAAAATAATGCATTACCCCTCATTTTTTGAATTTAAAAGTCTTTTGTCTTTTAAATTCATAAACGACAGAAAGTTTAAAATTTTTTTTTAAAAATTTTTCTTTACCATTTACCTATATTACCTATTCTGAACCGGTTATTGCAAAATAACACTGTATTTTTATGGTGATATGATTTCAGGAGCTGCTACTAGCAGCTTGTTACTAAAGGCAACACTGAATATAGTGTCACAAGATAGTTGCAACCTCAAGTATTCAAAATCACGCAAGTTGCCCAACGGCATTGTAAATGAGCAGCTATGCGCCAGAGACGTGTCAGGAGTTATGGACACTTGTCAGGTAAATACTGTTTACACTATTCCTGATATCATTTTTGTCTTTTTCGTACCCAATATAGTAAGAATTAAATTCCGGACACGGACCTCTCTCATATTGTAAGGATTTGTCGTAAACGTCACGCAAATAGGCGAACGCATTACCTTGAACGCACCTTTGGTGTTCCTTTGTGATTTATAGAGGTTCAAGAAAGTTAAAAGTACTGCAACGTCGTCTTAACGCTCACAAGTACATTTTTTTGCTATAGCTTTATGCTGTAATTGTGCATCACGGATTTATCGTCAGTCGTCGTTTTTTTTTTAAATTTCAAAACATCAAAAACAAAACTTTGAGATTTGACACATTAAAGCTAATGTCAATTCATGAATAGATGCCCTCATTGTCTCAAAGTAATTAATTACAAAAACTAAAGTAATTACATGGTTTTTTTTTCAAATAAGTCTAGGTTTCTCGCTGGTTTACCAATAAAAATAGCATCCATGATATACAGATGGGCAGCAGAGTTTTTGAAATAACAACAATAAAATGTCAAAAAATTAAATGTGGTTGCCAACCCACCTGCCAAGCATAGCAAATGGCAAATTACCACCTATGAAGCAATCTATGTTCCGCAACGGATTTTGATAGGCCATAACGGTAACGGTAAATATACCTTATTAAAGATCTCATAGCAGTGCATTGCTTCTTTTCTTCATCCCTGGTGGTGATTAAACCTACAAAAAATAAATTGGAATAATTCTAAATATAATATCATATTTTCAGGGAGACTCGGGTGGTCCCTTGCAAGGACTGACTGGATTAGACGGCCACTACAGACTGGTGGGCGTGACTTCGTTTGGGAGTGGTTGCGGCTCACCTGTGCCCGGAGTGTACACTCGTGTCTCCAAGTACCTCGACTGGATTGAGAGTACTGTATGGTCTGCAGCCTGAGATCACATTCTCTTCTGTGTTATTATTCACACATGTTTAATAAAATTATAATTTTTTCCAATTTATTGCTTTTCATTTACTGATTTACTGTGCTTCAAATGTTGAAATACTAAATTAATCTGTCAAGCCTTTGAAGTACACATGAGGCAATCCAAGGTCAACTTTGTAGAACGCTCCAAAGAGTATGGTAATATTTAGAAAGGACCCCTCAGAACCAAAGAGTATATGATCACTACACTACGTTTAGTCAGAACCATAGTTATTGTGCTCATAACAATTATTTTTAAATGTTATTTAGATGAACTATAAAACTAAAATTTTATTAGAATTAGTTTCGTTATTAAATTACGCTTCTTTAAATTAACAGAATTTACTTCAAATGACGAGTTTCCGCCTCGCGTCGCGTTTACGTCACATACTTTAGTCTTATATCCTTCGCCGCGTGAGTGTAAGAGGCAACTAGAAATTTTACAAAAAATTAAGTGGGTACAATAGAAAGTTTTTTGTTAGTTTTTATACAAATGATAAGTAATTACACTGTTTTAAAATTTAATTCCTTATATTTTGCTTCGTAACAATTTCATATATTTTATAAAATTGCCATTTCAAATACTGTGTCGTTCACGTATCACTATATTTAATAGCCAGAATTAACTGAAAAGTAAATAAAAAGTGTGAGTTATCACAATAAATCATATAATAAACACAAATTTTCATATCCCACAAAGTCCAATGAGCGAAAATTACGTTTTATGTTATAATTTCGATATATAGTGAACATTATGGCGAAGTTGTTTTCAACAATAACTAAAAATAAAAATGTGAATGTGAAGCACCAGCTTTCAAATAAAAAAAGAATCATCGAAATCAGTTCACCCAGAAGGTTATGAGGTAACACACATAAAAAAACACAGTCGACTTCCTTCTCCTGTTTGAAGTCGTTAGAAAAATGGCGTTGCTCAAAGATAGCGTAATAAAGTATATACATTATTACGCTATCTTACGGATGTACAAGTATATACCTGTGATTTAATTTTTTTTGAGGCTTCTACTGAGTTTATCGATATAATTATATTATATATTTCTTTTTCTGTTTCTATGTCCTTGTTTCTTTCTTCATAATATTTATTCGATTTTAACATATATATATATATCATTACAGCCCTTCACAAGTCCACTGCTGAACATAGGCCTCCCCCAAAGAATGCCACAAAGCACGGTCCTGAGCCACCTGCATCCATCGACTTCCTGCATATCTTACCAGGTCGTCACTCCATCTAGTGGGGGGACGCTCTACACTTCGCCTGCCGGTACGAGGCTGCCACTCGAGAACCTTTCTTCCCCATCGGTTGTCGGTTCTTCGAGCTATATGGCCGGCCCATTGCCACTTCAGCTTACTAATCCGTTGGGCTATGTCGGTCACTCTAGTTCTACTGCGGATATCCTCATTTCTGAGTTTATCACGCAGAGAAACTCCGAGCATAGCCCTCTCCATAGCTCGCTGAGCGACCTTGAGCTTTCTCATCCGGCCAGCAGTGAAGGACCACTATATATATATATATATATATATATATATATATATATATATATATATATATATATATATATATATATATATATGTATATATATTGAATTTTAACATAATATAGCGATTCGTTAGATTTGCCTTAGTTGTAAAAGTGAAATAATATTTACTTTTTTTTCTTTTCAGTAGAATTGTTTGGTTTTGTTATTTAATATTGTTTTAACCATTGAACTTGTTTACGCAACTTTTGTTTAATAAATTGTTTGATGCTGTTTGATGACTTTTTTACACATAATTGTTTACCACCGGCGGATTTTCCGGACCGATACGACTTAGGGACCTTCAAGAAAAGAGCTTACACCTTTCTAAACGGCCGGCAACGCATCTGCAATTCCCCTGGTGTTGCGGTTGTTCATGGGCGGCGGTAGTCACTTACCATCAGGTGAGCCGCATGCTCGTTTGCCCCCTCTTCTATAAAAAAAAAAAACACAAAAATATTTTTTTAAATAATAAAATTAATCCCTCCCTCTCCTTACAGTTTCATTCCACTGCTGGTGATGGACCGTTACATCCTATAAAAACCCCCAATGAACATAGGCCTCCACTATATTCCTCATAGAGGGTATACTTGTCATAGTTGCCACGTTCTGTTCCACGGTACACGTACCTTGTTGTATTGAACAGTGGATCAGTCGCCTCTTACGAAACCCACGGAATAGTATGAATATTCATACACCGCCACTACACAGTAATTGATAATTTCTCGAAACATTTCATTTATCGACAAATCGTCTTGCAATCGTCGTCACTCTAGCGCTCACTTGACCTTCATATAAATAATTCGATATTTTAATTGTTGATAATTTTTTATTTTTGGATATGAACATAGTAATGACTCTAAGTTATTTTTACCATTTTTTTAAAAAATCGTCTGGCCTGACCTACTATACTCTTTGGCTTGACCATAGTTCTAACTAAATATGTCCAATGAAATGTCAAGGTCTGAGAGGTTAAATTACATTTATCCCATATATAACTACTACTTTTTACACACAATATGTTGATGCTGATAGTTTGCCGACATGCAGCAGACGGTCTGTGCTGACAATATCTCAACATGTTTCAAGATTACAAATGAACTTCGTGGACTTCATCAGAGCATTCGTTTTATCGTTTTCCTAATAGTTAGTTTGCGTAGGGGCAATTAATTTAAAAAATCTCACCACATTTGCATATTAAAATCGAATTCAAACAATTATTTCAACCATAATATACGAATAATGTAACAGCGGCGTAAGGGAATAAAATAACAGCAGTTAATAGACAACGTTTAATTTAGAATTGAAATTTAATGGTCCGAGGTTAGTTGTGTGCGCCGCTTTTCCGTTTGACTGACAAAGGTCGCTGTTTGTTTCTTCGGAACTATGTTCAGAGTGCTATAGGAACATTAACACCATGTCAGCCTGTCGGTACTGTAAAAGGCGGCAGGCTATAAAAAGGGCATTTGCCATAGATTAATGATAAGTCATCGCGCGCTCTGACTAGATACCGCCGGCGCTCATGTAAAATGCGGCAACAAATACTACGCCGAAATCGGCGTACCCGAGCCAGTCGCATTGCAGGCAACGTGTGAGGTGAACGTATCGAATGTTTTATTAAATTTTGATGATAATCCGAAGTAAAATACCAGTTTACGTATTGAAACTGTGTAAAAATAATACTACAAGAAATAAGAAGGACACTGGAATCACATACTATCATTAAGTATCATACAATTTCGAAATTTTAACATAAAATAACACGAGCCATAAATAAGTCACAAAATATCAATGACGCTATTCAGTGTTGCCGCGAATGCAAAAATAAAGTTCCCCGTGGCCGAGATTTTTATATGTGAATTTATTGTTACTATATTTTATAATATAATATATTAAACTTATTATAATATAACCTAATTCTATATTATTTAATGTTTATTTCTGTAGTATTGCTTAAATGACATAATTGCCATTTATTAGGGTTCCGTACCCAAAGAGTAGCAACGGGACCCAAGTCTCCACTATCGTTCCGTCTGTCTGTCAGTAGGCTGTATCTTATGAACCGTAATATGTAGAATTTTCACAGAATGTGTATATATATTGCTGCTATAACAACATAAAAGAAAAAAAGAAAACAAGTAAAATATTAAAGGACCCAAAAAAATCACGTTTCTTGTATGAAGACCATACAAGAGACGTGATTTTTTTCTGTATTGATATGTGTTTTGTTTACAGACTAAAGCGAAACCTGGATTAACACGCAATAAAATGATGCTGTGTGTATGGTGGTATTGAAAGTTTATCATGAGCTTTTACCGCCGGATTAAACCATCGGTTCGGATTTCTACTACCTATAAATAATGAGACAAACAAGAAATAGAAAACAAAAACGGCTGGCATTGATAATCAGAAAAGGAGTGGTCTTCCATCATGATAACGCCAGATTACAAGATTAGTTATGTGTTTCAGACTTTCAATACACACTAACATTCCTAAAAATCCAGTATTTGCTTGAGTACTTAAAATTTTCTTTTGTTGCTTGTGTTCTTTAAAAGAAAGCTTTCTGGAGGTAACATTTAAGTTTATGATTTTTTTTCCATTATAAATGGGATGACTAAATCCATGTTCCTTCAAATCTCTGGTATTGAATATATCAAATAAAACTACTTGTCGCATTTTTTTAAATCAAAATCCCAAGATTTCTACAGCAACGTTTATTTTTTATTATGTCACTACCTACAAGATGGTAACAAATTATCGAAAAGAATGAACCCATATATATTATAATTAAATGTAATAAAACTTTAAAACAAAAACGTCTTGAATTTGTATACAATATATGAAGAAACTTTTTCCCCAGTCTTATATACTAACTAAAGGTGTAACAAAATAGTACTTATTAACTTAGGGAATGATTCTGCCCGTCAACATGAATATTTTTTATTATGGGATCATCTTCGAAATTTTCAATTTATACGTGATAGACCCATACTGCAGCTATATTACTGGTATAGTTGTAGCACGAATGGGTCGGCTCGACCGGGGACGGACCACGCTCTCACAGAATACCAGTATAAAATAGGAGCTTAACGCTGCTGTGTTTCCTATGGTGAGTGTAGAGAACCGGAGACCCTTTTTACTGGAAACGAGGCATTCCATCTTAGTCCTCAGGGGTTGCAACGCATCTGCATTTTGATTCTTAACCGAGGATAGATGTATATGTCTATGGGCCACAGCAACCACTTACCATCAGGTGGACTGAGTGCTCGTTTGTCACCCTGATGCTATAGAAAGTATCTCAAAGTCAGTTATTCCATACAAAATTTCGTACAAATTTGCTCAAAATGTATGGAAGACCTGATTTTTCTTGCGATTAGGAAGATAGATCTATAGTAAAAGTTGTTCATATTGACACATAGAATAGAAAGCCCTATTTTGATTACACCATATATATAACTATTTTTTTAAATAATTTGTGAATATTAGTTAGAGATG